CCATTATCACACAGAAAACGCAAGACAATCCATGAAGCGAGAATGGAATGGTGGCATGCGATTCGTTATTGTAACCTGAACGACGAAATGACGGTCATATTTAGACGTCAGCACAATAGATTCCTCCAACGTGTAGGTGGAACTGTTGGCACGTCGTGACTCGGGTAAAATTTAAGTGACGGTCATAGTTTATGTCGGCATCAATTAATTTCTATAAGTCACAAATAAGTCAAATGGTTGTTAGGAATATGGTAAATTATGATTACTAATATGACAATGAGTATCCATGCTTTTCAAGACCGTGTGTTTTCAAACTATGCATTTTATTCATTTAACAGCATAAATTAAATTATTAAGTTTATCATGCGAAAGCTAGCACTTCTGTCTAACAGACGAGTATGCTACGTACCCAAGGTGTTTGTTACTAATTCCCAGTTCTTCAACCGTTTCATCATTATCCTCGGTAGTGACAGAGAGAGCGTTTGGTCCTTTCTCCAATTGCTTGAAAAATGAATTCGCATTGTTGTGATTCAACGTTTGTGATGGCAGCGGCCATATTGCGTGAGCTGATAACATTTCATGTCCACTTCGCCACTATCAAGGGTGATGTGAAAATAATCTGGTAGCAAAAGTATACCTAATACTATATATAATCTACTGAAAACATTTGAATCGCCAGTTTTGCTGTTCGAACCACTCAAATTCTTCTATATCGTCAATCGATGAAATTAAACTTTTTCTATGCTTACTTTCAAGCAACCCGATATCAACCTTTTTGCTATCATTTTGTCACTTTCAGATTACTGTAAAACAAATTTATATATTTTCGTCGCAATGATCCGGTTATGTTCATAGCAACATTCTAACATATCAAATATGCCCGGAAAAATTTTTTTATGCTACATATCTTTTACGGTTCATATTATTTCACCGACAGTACATTTTACCGACAATTAACTACCAAAAAAGGATAACTTCGAAATAACGTTGGTGAAGATTTGTCGGTGAAATGATTGTCGACGAAATGATTGCCTCCCATCTTTTACTCATTGAAATATTCAAACAAAAACAAAGCCTCTGTTTCATTTTAACTGTTTAACTAACGTTCTCGCCACTGCATATTTGGGTGATAACCGTGCATTTGATTGAGATTTACCCGCGCATACCAAATCTATAGATAATTAAGAGTTCAAATTATTTACCTCTCAAATAACATACATTTATATCACATTTATACATAACGTATAAAAAAGTAACATGACCGACAATTAGAACTGTTGTGGGAATGAGGTAAATACGTACGTATCAGGAGGGCGGCGGATAAATACTCGATTACGAAGGCTAACGATTTTCACCGTTAAATTGAGTTTTCATAAGATAACATACAAACCATGTAGATGGTTCCATGAAATGGTGGGTAGACCGCTAAAGCTGCTTTTTCAATTAGATTAATATACACTGCCCTACCATAAATCACCGGATTTCATATTTTTTTACTAGTAAAACATATGAAAGGTCTTTTTTTTTTCGAAAATCTCTCCTGCCCATGTGTACTATGTGAATGACAATAGTTTTTGTATGGTTTTGAAGCCAATTAATTGTGCTTTTCGAAAAAAGTTAACGGTAAATTATATATATCATTATTATACACGTAAAGCTATAGCTTTGTGAAGTGGCAGTCTTTAAATTTTGGTATAAAAATATATGGTTATATATGTGGAGTACATATACTCTTACTTCCTTGATTCTACAGTTTTATAACAAGAATATATATAATTTACTGTTAATTTTTTTCAGAAAGCACAATTAATTAGCTTTAAACCCATACAAAAACTATTATCATTCACATAGTACACATGGGCAGGAGGGATTTTTGAAAAAAAAAGACTTTTCATATGTTTTACTAGTAAAAAGATATGAAATCCGGTGATTTATGGTAGGGCAGTGTATATATACACATGAAAGACCCCAACAGGAACAGAGATGGTTTTATGAAAGATTTCCATATTAAGTTAATCGAGGTTCGTCATCTCGAGTTTCACTGTGTATTAATAACTATGTATTTCTACATATTTGCAACTCTTAAAAATTTTAATTTTGATGTGTAAATGTGATATTAATATGTACCATTTGAGATACAGTATATCTTGATAGCAAAGTAATTCGAACTCTTGGTTCATTGTAGTAGGTTTGGTTAAATATGCATAGTGTAGTGAAACTCGATAAGTCGGATTTGGCTTAAGTCGGTCTCCCAGCCCTTTTCATATTTAAAATTTCTCGATAAGTCGGACGACTCTCGTTAAGCTGTAACCTCTCCAGCCCGATACTTCTTTTGATAAGTCGAATTCACGTGATCAAGTAAAGGTATTATACTATTTTGGTAGCGATTGTCTAATGACATTTTGTCATTATTTTATTATCTCATGTCATGTTGCTCACGACGAATTAGAAAAGACGTTAATTTATGTAAACAAAATGTTTATACCTCATTATGTCATAAGACTTTTATTTAAACAAGCAGTAGTAATAACAGTTTTTCGTTTTATCTGTTTATTTATTAATTAGAATTTTGAATAATCCAAAGCGAAATATCTCATGACATTAAAGAAAATTGTGTAGATGAATTCTATTATCAAGTTTTACTATGTATTCTGAAATAAAGTCTTAAATTTTCTCAAAGTTGATAAGGTAATTATTATAAAATTTCTTAAATTAAAGAAGTACAGTATCTAACCTTTCAAAACCGGTCTATGGCTTATGAATCAAGCACATCCTATATGTGCTAAAACGCGACAGTAGCAATTCTTTCTATCCAACAGCAATCGCAAATTTGGTTCCAGTATTTATTCTTTCAGAATAACTGCGTGATTATTCTCAGAGAATGTGAAAGCCATCGAAGAAACGTTCATGGGACAGGAGTGTTCGATGAAATATTGCAATGATTTATTTCGCCAATAGGCAACAAAACCAACGCCGGGATCAAACGTGACTGAAACTGTTGTATGTCCGTTTGGAATTTATGTCCATTCCGAATGGACATATGTCAGATGGGAATTTATGTCCATTCCAAATG